TAAATAAATGAATTGTTTCCTCTATGACATTTAAACCTTTGAGGCTTTAAGATGTATCACATCTAGTGTTTCTGGTTTGTATTTGTAGCTAGATAGTTGTCATCATCTTTCCACATGGCTGTGTAAACGGTCCATGTGGAGAGCAAAAAAGGTTGAGCACATCAGTTGTAATGCAATATGCAATCTAGTCGCGGCCAATTTTTAAAGGGGACATTTTGGGAAAAATCATCTTCTACAGTGTTTTTGAACATATATTTGGGTAACCTGAGTGTCTACTGACCCACAAAATGTGAAATAAATCCATCCAGTTCTTTGTTTGTGGTCTGCATAAGTCTTACAACACAGAGAAAAATGCTCTGTTTCAAATGTCCTCTCCTTGTGATGTCACAGTGGGATTCTGGTAAAAAAAAAAAATCCCCTCCACCCCCAGCGTAGAGCAATACCTTTGCGCAGGTCGGCCATTTTTATTCTCGCTACAGAGGAGTGATGTCTACTGGGAAAACTCAGGGGGGCTCATTGCATTTAAAGACACACACACCAAAATGGAGCCATTTAGACCACAGGGGACTGTTTGAAAAGGTGGAAAAGGGGGATAATATGTCCTCTTTAACTTTAAAGTCTATAAACAGATATTTGCATTAAAGTTCAGTTTATAATCCGCTCTTGAAGTCATCTCTCAATTCTGACGCTTTTCTCACTTCTCAAGTAATTCATCATATTGTGATCAAAGGCAAAGCACAGAAAAGTCAGTCTTAGCTTGAAGTCCCATACTGCTAACTGCTTGCTACACCATTGAACATTTGTCAAACGCTTCTAGAGCTGTATTGTCGTCAGACGATAACCAATGGGCACCAAGATGAGTGAACCTGTAACTTTAACCAGTAAAACAAGACTGTGTCTTTGTTTATGAAATATTTATGTTCAAATATTTGGAAATTCCCATCAACATTTCCTGTACTGTTATTTCTGTACCAATGTTAGCATGCTAACATGCTGGTGGTCATAATACCTGCTGAAACTCATCATGTTAGCATTGTTAAGACTGTAGACTCAGTCATAATATTTCTACCTTAATGGGACAAGCCCTGCATTTGTCAGGTCCTTCATGGTGTATATAGATATTAATATCTGGTTAATTATCAGCAAGCAGTACAGACAGTAGAGATATTTTTAAGCACAATACATTGCATTCTGTAAGAAACTATTTCTCATATCCAACGTGCTGCCATTTACAGATATTGTGAAACTTGAAGAAGAGGACGTTATGTTCGTACTTTTGACTTGTTTCTAGATACAGAAAACAAGTAAAGACAAAGTTTAACATATAGACCTTGTCTGGTTTTCTTCATTCAGGCTAAAATCAACTCCTGGTCATGGCTGCCCTGACCTACTTAAAAAGGTTCATTTTTTGGTTTCTTTAATCTAATATTTGGAGGAAATCCTGTTTTCAAGAACACAGAACTGATGTTTGGGGCAGAAGTGGACTCAATTACTCAAATCTTCTATTTCATTTATAATTTGTCTCTTACTCATTCATCCAATTTGTAGCTCAACAATAAGTTTTCCATGTCTCTCTTTTCTGTGAATAATACTAAATCAATCTTAAAATGTGATTACCAGTGTTGGTTATTGAATATATTTTGTTTTGATTTATTGTAATCTCATATTTGGTGGATTTTCCAGAATGAAAGAATCAAACATTTTGTGTAAAGTCAATATGTCTTTCATTGCACTCTTGATACATGAAGAACTGCAGTAAGGGAGTAGAATTGTTCTGCTGTGGTCAAATATCTATACTACTGTGTACACGTGTACATGTATGGTGCTTGGTATGCAGACAGCGTCTTTGCCGCCTGTAGCCCTATGCGGGCCTCCCCAGGTCAAACAATTACCACACATCAAGGAAAGCAATTGGGCATGACTAAAATATCATGGCTGTGTGATTGTGTCCCTATGTTTGGGCTGCTCAGGCCTAATTTAACCCACTTTGTCCGTACAATCGAGGAGAATCGAGGACACGCTCCTCAATTCCCGGGGCCCCCCAAGCATTTCCTGCAAGCCTGACACACGGCAGCTGGGTTAGATGCGCTGTCACAGGTCTCTTACCCAGCCAGGTGGGAGATGGGGAGTAATGAGCAAGAGAAGTGAGGAAGCAGAGGAGAAATGAGGCTGGAGGTAGAGGAGGGAGCGTTAAGTGAGACACAGGGGGGCAGAAACTTTACGCTTTTTCAGGAAGCCATTTTCACATAATGCACTTCTGGAACATTTCAGGAGAACCCCTGAAATCTTCATGAGTTGCTCTCCTCACAGCGTGAAGTTTTCCTTGTCGGATGGGGGAGGGGTGTTCACATATAGTGAATGGACACATCAACGTGGTGTACCACATGGAGTCCCAAGCTATGAAGACAATTCTTACCTTTATATTAATGCTACATGCAAAAGGACATATTCACAGTATAAATGAAAGATTGGAAAATAATACGTGAAGCAAGAGAAATGAAACATGCAGCTTCATTACATGCACAGACATTGTCCCATCATGCAGTGGACACTAAACATCATCACTCTGCCCGCTGGCCTGTGCTGAATTCATAGTATCTGCCAGTTCACACAATCCTGACAGAAATTTCAGTAGGGGGCTGGCTGAAACAAAGTCTGGATAAACTCAGAGTGAAATATTTGATTTTGTGCTTTTTTAGTGCCCGTGTGTAAAGGCTGTAAAGTCTTTGAACATATTTGGATACATATTTGAGGTCCCGTGTGATACGAGCAATTCCAGACAATAAGAGGGTTGTTGCTTCAAGACCAATACATTTTGGTTTCAGTAACACCGAACCACAACAGAAGTGAACTCAGTTGACTTTAGAAAAGTGCAAGTCTAGATTGTATATCTGCAAATATTAGAAAAGAGACCCAACATTAATCCACCATGAAAATGACTTTGGCAACAGTGGAAAGAACTACTATCTTTAAAATCAACAATATATATAGGAATTCAGTTTGGTGCCCTTTGGCACCCATTGAAGGTCTCTGAGTCAAACTGCACTGTTATGAAAAGCCAATTTCAACTGACAAGGTACACTAATATTACCAGAATTTCTGCAAATATGGCTTTGCTAGCATCTAAAGCCTGAATGATATCTGCAGGGATGAACACTCTGCCTTCCGATTGTTGCTTTATGTCTGGCTTCCTGCTCCGTCACTCTCTTTTTCTCTTCTTAGCTTCACACGTCTTCGTCCTCTTCTGTCTCTTAGCCTCAGCCGTTGTATCAAACAGTACCAGTACTAGCTAACAGGCTAGTGCAGTAAAGCGCTACAAAACTTACATTGAGCTATAAGCATGCAACCTGGGCGCTCTGTGGACATGGCCTGTTGAAAGTTGTTGTTCTTTTAGCTTGTTTTGAAACTGTTATTTTAAGGTGGTGGAGTAAAATATTGTTAGGCAGAAACCCTCAAGTAGAAGCATACTCATTGGACAGAATGGGCTGAGATAGAAAGATGCACAGCAAAAAAAAAAAAAAAAAATGCTGTTGAGTTTCTTTCCACCGGACTATTTTGGGCCTTTTTGACAAAGCAGGAGAAAAGGGGGAAAGTAGAAGGGGGGATAATGGAAGAGAAAATTGGCTTATATACACATGGATTGAGTTTGGGGCAGGCAGGGAGATGGTGAATGTCATTAGTGGGTAAGCATTGATCCCAAGCTCTGGCTCCATGCAGCAGCTTCCACTTATTCCTTCATTATACAGTCAAATAGAAGTGCCAACCCTGTCCCCTTCATCTGTCTGCATCCCCCCCCTCACCTCCTGACAAACCTGAACCTCTGCTCCATGCAGCTTCATTCTGCTAAACCCATTGTTTCTTTCACTGATTCCATATCAATTTCATTTCGTTCTTGCTGCTCAGCTGTAACTTAGCCCAAGTCTCTGTGTTTCTTTTGTGCTCGCAGACCCTGTTTAAATATTGATAGAGAGTGGAAGCACCGCCGACTACTCAGCCGGGGTCAAGGATGGCAGAGTTTCAGAGCAGATTTCATTAGGGGAGCAGATGACTGTAAATATGGAAGCATGTGAATCACGGGCCCTCGACGACCGCTCCAGCAGTCTTCATTATCCCCCCGCGTGGCTACCGCCCTGTAATGTATTCCGATGGAGATGAAGGTTGGAGGGTGATGGGGTGTGTAAAATAGCATGTGTAGGAAGGCCCCTGCTTTTTTTTTTATGGTATGAGCAGCATGCCACTCTCACAGCCAGATCCCCATTAGTACAGGAGCAGAGGATTGGGTGTGCAAATGGTTGCATGGATTAGAGAGCTAATGCGTTTAGGAGAGGGGGCTCCACCATCTCTTTATTGCTGCTGATGCTGTGTGTGTGTGTGTGTGTGTGTTGATTCTCGCACAGGGGAGATACCCAGTCCCTTTGTGGAGCTGAGGAGATTTAGGGTAAAGTGAGTAGATAAGGGCAGGGATGCACAAAGTGATGCAAAAACACACACACACACACACACACACACACACACACACACACACACACACACACACACACACACACACACACACACATCAAAGACTTTGACCAGAAGAAGCTGGTTGCTGGTTGTGTGTGTTGTGTTATTAAGCTCAGCATGGAAATGAGATCTTTCCCTGAAAGAGGTGCAGACGGCGGCCCTACTAATCTAATTAATCAGCGTCTGGGTTTTTCATTTTCTTCTGCCCTCTTTTCTGCTCCTCTTTGTCGCTCTCTCGACTCATCCTTCCTCCTCCTCCTTCCGTCTGGATTTCTCTTAATCTGAACTTTATGTCCTCTTTCAAGTGTTTGCAAGGCCATATGTAATGTCATGTTCTTCCTATACCACAAGTTATAAAACCCTCTGTTGTCTTATACTGGTATACTTGCCCAGAAAAGGAGAGTATAGTCTCACTGCTAAATGCATAGATGCCTCTGCAGCAGCATGCAGGGATGGTGATGGTGATGGCAGGCTTAAGAGGCAACCTGCTACCAGACAATACGGCAGCTGTCGACTTTGCACGCACAAGCCTCGCTGGTGGTCATCAAGCTGTGGGCAGACAGAGTTTAAACTCCTTGTCTTGTGCTGCTGCTGGTGGTTCGAGGGAGCGTCACATTTGCTGCTCGTGGGTTTTTTTTAAAGAGCCAGGCAGGCGGCAGCATGGGAGGGGCCCTGCTTTTACTGAAGCGCAGAAGCAGCAGAAGCAGCGCGGTGCGTAACTACAGTGGAGCTCTGCGCAGTGAGTCAGCTTAGGTATCACACAGGCGCCGGCAAGTGAATGAATGAAGACAGAGAGAGAGGAGAGCCCTGCAAGATCTGGAGACAGAAAAGGCGAAGGTGTCCAACTCTGGAGAGGAGAATCTGACACGGAAACACAGAAGTGATCGGAGCAAGCTTGTTGACGCATAATCCCACCCTCCCCGCCGGCACTGGGAGGGGGCAAATCTAGCCTGCCTAAACTCCAATCCTGCCAAAGAGATTAACGGAGTGCGCTGCAGCAGGTTCAGAGCCAGCAAGAACATTTGATACGAGTTTATTTGAATATATCTCAGATATTTTTTGGAAGAATTCTTTGGAAAACAGATCGAGGAGCTATTGCGCGCATCATTAGAGGCGATTGATTTCCCTGTTGGATTCGGCACTGTCACTGCGCCGCGGACTGTGCGGGTTTTAGATGCGTTCTGAGGTGTGGACAGGACCTATCATCATCATCACCATCATCATCATAGCAGGTATTTGATCGGGATTGTGTTGCTTACATCGGAGATCTGGAGCCATGACAGGCCCCCCGCTGGTCCCACAGCCCGCCTGCTGACGGTACCGGGCAGGATGGGAGCAGGTCTGCCGCGTTTAGGATCCCGAAGAAGCCGATTTATCAATGGAGGAGGAGAGTGACACCCGGAAAATTAACAACAGCTTCCTTCGTGACCACAACTATGCAACCGAAGGTATTTAAATCGATGATGAGTAAAAAAAAAAAAAAAAAAGGTTGAGAAAAATAACTTGAGGCTGTAGCTAGAGGCATGCCTATATCACAGACAAAACACAAGTCACTGCATTGGATTTTATAAAGCATGCAAAATAAATCAAAAATGCTTTAAAGTAGATATCATTGAAAACATGGTTTACTGTTCATTTATTTGGTGATATAAAAATCCTCCTAAAAGGCTTTATGATGATGCTTAGGTCACCATAAAGGTATATGAATGCACATTTAATCTCGTCAGGCACAGTTAAAGATGTCACAGGGCCAGAGGAGGAATATTCTGGCCATTTGTCATAAACATGGAGGCAGTGCAGGGCGCCTGGTGTCAATAGTAGAGGATGACGAGGTGGCTTCCAATCATACCTGCTATTTCGGGATGGCAATCCTGACTGATGGGAATCAGGGATTTAATCTGTATTAAAGGCAGCAGTGGAATAAAAGCTTCTTTTACAGTCTATACAGAACATGTGATGCAGTAGAAATGATACATTAATAATGAAAGAGGGGAGAGGAGTCTGCTGGAATAATTACTCAGAGACTGAGACGATGTCCTCATTTAAAGAGGAATCCTCGGTTTATCGCTCCCTCTCTCTAGAACACACACACACACACACACACACACACACACACACACACACACACACACACACACATCACATATACTCACACACAGTGTATCTTTACTGTACACACTCATAACAACTTAACAATAGCTGTTCTTCACTGCAGCCTCCTGCACATGTGTGTTTCCTCCTCACTGACCACACACACATCACCCTCTTGATTATCAGCCTGTTAACTGTTTGATGCTTAATAGTTCCCCAATGCTCCACCAATCAGTTGCACCTGTCCCCAGCAAGCTGCTTAGCTCATTGATCAACATAAAGCATTGATTTACAGGTGAAAGCCTCCATTAATCTCATTACCAGCTCGGGGTCTCCATTCAGTGATTATGCAGATCGGTTATGGACGTTTACTGCTGTGCTGATATCAGAGAGACAATAAAACTACCGAGGGCTTTTCATTGCAGCAGTTAGAACTGATTTGTTTTATACACACACAAACCATAATCCCATTATGTGATGCTGTAATGTAGCACGAGACAGCCGCTCTAAATATACCAAATCACATTTCAAACACGTCTTTTACTAAAATAATTTGATGAAAGAAATGTGCTTTTGTTAGAAGTATTTTTCCATCCTGATTAAGGATTATATTTTATATTTAAGTGGCCTTATTGTTTCAAATTTATATTCTCTACGGCTCCATGCTTTTATTATTATTTCACTATTGACATATTTCAGCCCCCACTTAGCATAATATTCAAATATAGAAAAACAGGAAAAAACCTGTGAAATATGACTGTTGAAACAATACTTTAAAAATCATATTCAGCATCTCTCTGAACAATAGATGGAAACTATAGGTTGTTGGAGGGTATGTGCCTGCAGGGTGGGTCAGAGCCAGCAGCTTCTTCCATTTTCCAACAGCTATGTTACTGAAGCCAAAACAGGTTGTAGAGAGGCTAAGTCAAGGCTCAGAAGGCCGTACCCCCCTTTTTTCATTTAAACGTACTACAGCATCATCATTCGTTCCACTCCCGCACTTACAGATGATTTGCTGTCACTCCTAAACACACACAGGCTGGTTCAGAGCGAGAAGTGAAGGAGTGGGGGTGGGAGTGATGGATATCTTTGTTTGATGTGTGCTGAGATAAAAAACAGGAAGGGATCTTGTGTCTTGCAGCTTCTCTCTCTCTCTGTCTCACTCTGAGACTCTCTGTCATATTCACTGGATCAAGAGAGAGAGAGAGTGCAGAGAGTCACACAGGGTGTAAATTTGTCTGTCTGCTCTGCTGCACATCTGCACTTTCAGACGAGAGGGGGGCTACTTTTGTTATTTTTTATGGCTTTGATTTATGAGTGATCATCACAGCTCATATATCGTGACTGAGCGTGTCTGTGTGTGTCTGTTGGTGTTTGCACATTTATTCCCTGAATCCTTGTGTCGTAAGTGGTATGAAGCCAGTCTGCAGCCAAAGATCACACAGGTCTGTGTCTGGGTCCATCGCTGGTCCTCGTAAATTCAGCAAAGTGCACATGTTCCATCAGGCCCAGTCTGATCAGACCACACACACACACACACACACACACACACACACACACACAGGGATTCCCCTCAGGCCGTGCTTGCCCACAGCAGCAGGACACTTTAATGATGTCACATTTTAATGATGTCACTATAGCTGACCTTTGCCTTGCACCAATCCCACACCTCAGTGGGTCTGGGCACATTGACCTGGTGTGGGTACATGTGCATAATATGCATAAATTGTAAGTAACACTTTGCTGGTCATCCCTTTTCTGTTATATATTATGTTTTATCATTCCTGTTATCTAGTGTCTGATTTGCATCCCATACCACCAGATGATACATTGCCTACTGCAACAATGGATGTGTCGTGTCTAACTGCACTGATTGTATGTTGAAGCAATGGACTGTTACATTTCTACAACATGGGCCACAGTAATGTTTCCTGATATGCACCTTCACTGGTTCCATAATGAATTAAATCATCAAATAGCAGAACACCACACTGTGTGTACATAGCTCCCCCACTGTGAGGCGGGACCTCACCTAATGTCTGCTGTTGTATTGATTTCTGCTCCTTTACAATTTAGCCACCAGAACAATGACCAACAGATCTATTGGTAGGACATGTAATCCTGTTTCCTCTCTCTCTCCACCACCCCCTCTTTCATCTCTCTCTTTCTCTCTCTGCTGCGTACATATCTGTCTGATGTGACTACAAGCTCGGGTGTGATGTGACCCCTCCAGCCCCCCACTGAATACTGATGCAGGCCTTTATTGCAAGCTGCTGATGAGAGCTGAGTCTGAGCCAAGTCAAACGGCCCGGGGCCACACTTTAGGACCCCGGCACTAAAAAAGACTTAGCCCACCGTACCCGCAGGTCCCATCCATTATTCACCATGAAACACTCAAAACGCTGAGCCCCCACCTCGCCGCATAGCAAGAGAAGGATATTGTCGGGGGGGGGTTGGTGCTTAATAGCAAGCTGTGAAGTTGGGGCGAGTCACACTCCTTATTCAGCAGCTGCTTTCATCCCCTGATTAGCTTCTTATTAAGTCTGCAGCTCCATGAAATTTTAATGAGAATTTATTCAAGAAATCGGGCGGAGCTGCTACTGTAAGACGATTACAAATAAATTCCTATTTTTCCCTCCAACTTCTTCTTGGGTAGTTATGTGAAGTGCTGCTGTGTATGTGAGTCATTGGGTGCAACATTAGCCTGAAGGCCAAGCAGTGTTTGACCTTTCTGGAACTTCATAATGGGCTACATTTGTGAGTTTTGATAGCTAATTCCCGTGTCCTCTCTAGGAAGGAATGTCTCTCTGAATCTTTCATGTTTTTTTGGTGATAAGGTCGCTGTAGAAGAAGGATTTCAGTCTGTACAGACATCATCTCATCTTTGATTCACTCCAGCCTTGGAAACAGGAACATGAAAGGGATTGCACCAAAAGCAGCACCGACAGACAGACAGCCAGTCGAGAGAAAGAGGCGGCTTTTGTTTTGTTGTTGCTGGATTATAATTCTACGCGCCCCCGCTTCCCCGCTTCCCCACCATCCCCCCTCCTACATCTTTAATTTCTAAGAGAATACCAAATAACAAGCATTTTGGAATCATCCTGCTCGGTATTTCATGTTCGTGCAAGCAGAAATCGATCTCTGATTTCACCACTTTTCCCCCACTTCTTTTTCCTCCCTCTTGTTTCCCGGCCCTGTTCTGTGTTTTGTCTGCAGTCAGATGTGTGCCACGGCAAAGTGTTAATGAAGTGTGAGGAGTGAAGCAGTAACACGTCTTGCCCATTTCACCCTTAAACTCCCTGGAGTGTGAGGATACAGAAAAGAACGCACACACAGGCTCATACAGAGACATGCACACACACACTCTGTTTCACTCTCAAGGGGCTGATCCTGCAGAAACCAGGTTAATTAGCTTGTTCACTCCAGATCTTACAACGAGTCGTGCTCTTCAGATGTAGAGAGCCGCATTGTGCTCTGTTGCTTTGTGTGAAGGCTAATAAAGCCTAATAAAGCCTTAATCAAGGGTACCAGACCAGCAGCTAGGAGGGAGTATTTCAAATTCTGATTGATCTCCATTGTTGCTGGTGTGGAAATGAAGACATAATCAGTTGCCTTTTTGAGCACAAGGCGATCTGATTTAACATAATTTGTAATTTTCCATGTGCTTGTTATTGTTAAAGACATAGAGAAAAGTGTTCATGCTAGATTCTGTTGATTATATTGACAGTGTGTGAGGAAGGACCTGATTTGTCCCCCAACTTGATCCTTTGACGCAGGCAGCTCAGCATAAGTGCAGTAATCCTCTCTCCTGAATGTCCACCGCTAACAAAGCATCTACACCACACCATGTTGCTAACATCCCTCCCTACTACCTGGAACCACTGCCAGCACTTATGCAACTTGCTTTCCGCACCATTTTGGGGCTGTCTGCCTTACACAGCCCCGGCAGTGCCACAGGATCAAGCCTTTTAGTATGGTTTGTTTTGTCTCTTTCTCGCCCCCTGACAGGATTACATGTTGTCTAGAAGGTTAGCCATTGGTGCTCCTATTTTTGGTCGTATAGCCTGTGCTCAAGGAGACTCTTTGTACAATCTTTTATTGACCTACTTAGAGCAACAATTCTCCCTGTACAGACTCCCCCCCCCCTTCTTGTTTCTTTTTAGTGGCCTTCTCTGTGTTGTGCGTGATAGATGTTCCATGCTGGGGCGCCTATAAATACATTCAATACACTCCCCGCCCCTGCCTGCGTTGCTGGCTTCATCGTGCAGCATTTTCATTCCAGAATCAATGCATATCTATGTTTCCATTCAATCAGCTGGACTCATGATCCTATATTGTTCGCTAAAGAGGGGGGGGGGGTTACTAAAGTTCAGAGTGAATAGAAACACATGAGAGCAGAGGACATGCTTGTTTTCTTTCAGGCATACATACTGCAATACACACACACATACACACACATCCCAGCAGGCCTGTGTGTAATTCCTGGTGATGGATGTGTGTTATCTCGAGCAATACATCAAGAAGCTGCTGACCTGTCTGCGTCAGAGCTGGCTGACCACAGGATTTATGATCTTCATCTCGTTATGGTCTGCTGATGAAGCTGTGTGTGTGTGTTGGACAAGAAAGGGAGAGTGTGTGTAAGTACACATTTGATTAACAGAGTCATCAGGCTGCTGTTGAATCCAGACCACCTTTGAACCTTCTGATGTTTTAAAATCAGAACTGACTGAAAACCTCCCAGAAGCTCTGCCCCTTCTGCGACTCAGCTGCTAATCAATTTGTTCCTTATAATATCGTTTTTTTAAATCTCAAATAACTCTACAGTATACTGGCATTCAAAGACAAGCCCATCAGTGGCAGAATAGACCGTCTCATCAGGTTTTGAATACATTTGCATAAAAAAAACTAATTTAAGGAAGCATTCCATCATGTAACTCCGTTTTTGCATCGCCAGCTCTCCCCCGTTCTTTATTCACTGAGATGATGGAAGGATGTATCCGTGTGTAAACTTGTTTAAATGGCACCCATCAATTACTGTTTCTCCTCAGTGACTAAATGTGATGATGATGAGGGAAGAAGGGAGAGAGACAGGGGAAAAGAGGGAGAGCAAAGAGAGAGAAAAGCTTTGATTTGAGGAAGCTGACCTCTAAGCCGATTCCGTTGGATTCACACCAGTGACTTGTCTGATTGTGTCGGGGAAGACACTATTGTTCAAGTTGTGTGGTGTGATGTGTGTTTGTGAGTGTGCTTAGGGTTTTCAAGAAATCTCTGTGCGTGCACAAAGCTGATTCATGCAAATACAGAAAAGCTATAATAACTCCTGTGCTGGATTTTTGTGTGAATGTGTAAGCGTACATGTGACAGCTAAAAGGTGTGTCAGTGTGGGGTTCTCCCAGGATGTAATTAGGTCAGAGTGCGTCTTGTCTGTGAAACATTATTAGCTTCCAGATTCCAATGTGATTAGGATCCCCCCCTCCCACCTCACACCATTATCAACACAAGGCTGCAAGAATCCCTCTGGTGTCTCTCCAGAATGTTGCTTCTGTGAAACAATGCAATGAAACAAGGCGAGGACACACACACACACACACACACACACACACACACACACACACACACACACACACACACACACACTCTCAGACACATGCCGCTTAGTCATTTCCACAACGCACAGCAGCTTTATGTGAGGAAGAAGAGTCTAGAGGGACTCTATTGTCTAAAGTTGTGCTGCTGCTGCTGCATTGAACTGCACACACTCCCCCAGATGCAGGAGCAGGTTTTCACTCTATTGCAGCACTCGCTCTGTCTGCTGAATTACAGCTAGCATCAGCAACTAAAGTCTGAGAGCTATTGGCACACACACACATATACACCCCTCCAACTGCCGCTAGAGATGGAAACGGTCTCCATAGCAACATTCCCCTCTCCTGTTCAGCGCTCTGCCAGTAGCAGGTCCACAGAGGGCGTTGGGGGTACAAAACAACAAGCTCTCTCTCTCTCTCTCTCTCTCTCTCTCTCTCTTTGCCTAATATTATTGTCACTGTTAAACAGAGGGATAGCCTCTCCTGTAGTGTGTGTGTTTTTGCATAGTGTGTGTGTGTGACAGACATTATGCTGTGCCTTTTTGCCTCGGGCTGTGTATTAATTACAGTCACCATTAGCCTCTCCTAAATCCATGCAGATGTATGTGTTTGAGCAGGAGAGGAAAAGCTACTTTAAGGGTAGGTGTCTGTTATTTACTTTTAGGGCAACTGTAGCTATGAAGAGACACCGAGACAATCCAGAAAAGGAAGAATATTTATGAGTGATTGTATTTTACTGATGTATCCTTTTGATGCACTGCAGAGAATTGAAGTTGAACATCTAAATACATATCTGCAGCATGGTCTGCAGGGTTGCAACTGTGTTTTCTAATGAAGGAGCAGGAGGGCGTCAGAGCAGCACAGGGTCCTACAGCCAGGAGGAGAGAGGGCGATGGCATCATTATTGTTTCTGCAGAGTCTCTTAAAAAAGCTATTAAATGACACAGATTGTCTCACTTCACTGACACAATTAGTTTGATATCATGCAGTGACTCATGCAGTCGCTTCTCCTGACCCACATATCTGTGCTGGAGCATACTATGCTAATTTATCATGAGATTTCCCTTCCCTTCCTCTGACAGGTCTGAAAAGAGCTTTCGTTTTGTCCGACTGATACCTTGACAGCTTTGTGCACATCCATGCTGACATTTTCTGCTTCCTGTGTTGCAGCTGACATTATCTCAACGGTGGAGTTTAACTCATCGGGGGAGCTGTTGGCCACCGGGGATAAAGGAGGCAGAGTGGTTGTCTTCCAGAGGGAGCAGGAGGTAAGAAATGCCAACAATGCAACACTGATTATGCTGCCCTTTCCGCTGAGAGGATTTCACAGCCTTGAAAAAAAAACTCAGGTTGATTTTAGATAACTACAAAGAAAAGGGAGTGTATCTAAAGAAATTGTTTGATGGAAATGTAGCAGACATCTCTCTGTTACGTTATCTTTACGGGACAGCATGGGATGCTAGCTCCTCTGAGAGGCTTAGCTTGGCACAGTGGTGCTGTGAGCTTAATGCTAACTACATCATGCTTATAAGCACACAGTGATGATGCTAACATGTTGAGCAAGTATAATGTTTAATATAGTCTGTATAGACTAAAGACAGTCTGCATCACCCTTCACACCCCCTTCACCACTCGGGCAGTCTTTTAGAGTACCACTGTCGAAAAATAAAACTTACAGAAACTCTTTTATTCCCACTGCAATACACATTTTAAACAGGGCTTAATAAGCGATGTTTTGTAAATGCTGTGCATATGTGTTTTTACCTATTTAGGGTACTTTTAGCTATTTATGACCTAATGTGAGTGTTAGTGTGAATGTTTGTATGTTTTCATGTTGACCCTCAACAATGTGATAGACAATAAAGTTTTTTGAATCTTGAATATTCATCATCTTGAATGTTGCATGGTAGCATTCTACTGTTGGCTAAAAGGTCCCAAACCAGAAGTTTAAAACTGAGGTTTCATGTTACGTTATCTGCTGTAGATTTAAAAAGCCGAAGTACGAAGTCATGACACAACATCAAGTGTTAATATCTGGGATCAATGAAAGTCTAAATTAGTTCACCTGCTGCGTACTTTTAATATAGATTTTAGTCTAGACCATAGATTGTATAAAGAATGGTAAGCTAAAGACCCGCCTCAAGTGAGGCCAAAATATTCAAATATGTAGAGCTCCCCCTGCTGACTGGCCCTTTTCACACATACGGAAATCTCCTGAAAAAGGAGATTACCCAGAGTATGTGTGAACGCAAACAGCCAAACTTTTCACTCAGACTTCAGCTGGAGTTTCTCCGGCCAGACCCCTAGTGGGCTGAGAATTCAGTTCAACCCAGAGGAGGGGGAGTGACGTTTATATTCTGCTGCACAGTTCACAAAGTGTCTGTACGTGACCACTATGATCTCCGTGCCTGTAATTAAACGGCTGCATTAAGTTTTCTGTTCATCAGTATGTTGTTCTCAACTCTTTTGTGGATAGACTAGAATAGAATAGAATAGAATAGACTTTATTGTCATTGCACAAGAATACAACAAAATGTACTGTGCCATACCTGAAATATAAAAAATATGTTAATATATAGAATAAAAACAAATACATACATATACACACATGTGTATATATATATATACCTACACAAGTACAGTAAAAATATCCAAACACACACACACACACACACACACACACACACACACACACACACACACACACACACACACAATCATCATTAGTTTATAAGTAAATGTGTAAACAAAGCAGGTCGAGGCAGTATTGCACTATTTGTCCCATTATTTGTCCCATGGTGGGTCAGTGTTAGATTTTGTTTAGTTCAGTGATGGCTCTTGGATGTTGGTCATGATGTTGTTATCATGTTATTTTGTGTTTAAGTAGCTAATTTCTGAGAAGTTTTGTTTTGATTTGTTAGAAACTGAATAAAATGTCATGATTGACACTTAAGCAGAACAGGAAGAGAAAATGTAAAAAAACACAAAAGAGTCACAGAACTTCAATAACTGAGTGTCTGCTTCAAACTGACACAAGAATCTGGTCATCTGTGGACTATACCAACCTACGTGATTTTTACCATTTTGTCTGTACGTTAAATGTGCGTTTAGTTAGCTGAAGATGTCAATACCAACATCAATACGGCGCTCAGCAGATCCCTACTGCGCAGACTCTGGTTGCTAATGAAGCACTTTGGCTTCATTCTGTTCAACAAGAAGAGGCTGAGGCGAGCTGTCCATTTATATACTGTATACTAGGGGTTGTACAGATTCGTCAACCTTACAGCTTTATGCCTGATGTCGACTAATTACTTATCAGGATATGAACTCTAAAACTGTGACTAAGCAGAACTGTGACAGTGAGTAGGCAAAAACCTGTTTACCTGAGTTTTTTTATTTTCCAAGAGTGACTTTTTTCTTTGCACTTATATGAGAGTTGTAGCACATGTGTTATTGTTGTATACTTTATTGCAGCTGCTGCAACCTGCTGTTTCTTCATGTGTTGACTGTCTGGTACTAGCAGTTGATGCATTTGCAAATTCATATTTCAGCTGGTTGAAAAGTATTCCCTTCTTCAGTAGTTTTATTGATAAACTTCATAAGCAACTTGTCGATTCGACTGCTATAACATGACTGTCAACTTCAAAAAATAAACAACGTGAAGTGATGCAACCCCTAGCATATACAGTCTATGGTCTGGACCATCCCTTGACAGGAAGCATTCACACTAAATTTCTGCTTCTAGCATGGCAAATTTCATCATCATCATCATCATCAACCTTAATTTAAGTTCTCGGAGAGATCATTGAGGGCGACCCTCATTTACAATGATGCCGAGAGTACACATATAAATGACAAACAAAATGAGTTAAGGCTACCAGAGGAAATGAAATGAGTAAAAGCAGTAAGAACAATAAAATATATAAACTTAAAATAATTAAAAGCCTGAATAACTACAATGATTAGTCAACAATTAAAATCAAATAAAACAGTTACAGTCAGGTATTGGGCAGTTAAGAAGAATAGTTCTAAAGTGTCCAAAAGTGACAAAAGTGCTCAATGTTGCAAAACGTTCCAGGAGTTTGCAGCACTAACGCTAAAAGCAGTTTTCCCCGGGTCAGTCCTGGCATGAGGAACGAGTTAAGCTACTGAGGGTACAATTAGGTATTGAACAAACATTTACACTAGCATTGATTTTTACTGAATTATTCAACATCTTGTTGTCACAAATATGTTCTGAAGAGTTGAATTTTATGGAGTTCATGGTGAACAGAACATTCACTTACTACGTTTCTCCCTCTGTCCTTATCTTTCAGAGTAAGAGTCAGCCCCAACGTCGAGGGGAGTACAATGTTTACAGCACATTTCAGAGCCACGAGCCCGAGTTCGACTACCTGAAGAGTTTGGAGATCGAGGAGAAGATCAACAAGATCAAATGGCTTCCTCAGCAGAACGCCGCCTACTTCCTGCTTTCCACCAACGGTGAGTACATTATCTAAGGAGAACCTGGTTCTGCAGTGCAAATAAACCATGAATCTGTCATACAAACATTTTTAAAAGTGGGCATTTTCAATCAATCAATCTTTACAACTGATGGACACATGCTGTATGACATGTAAATGTCTTTTTGACTTTTGTGTTTATTTATTGGTGTTCAGCTTCAGTGCCACCGGCAGACACATTTCAGATTTAAAAATTCATGCATGGCTTCCACAACAGGCGCACACATACATATATCAAAGTGTGTTCAACCATCACACACTGACACACACACACACATCAGCAGAAAGACGTCTTGCAGATTGCCGGCTTCATGCATGGGCTGCTACAGAAGTGCTAGCGGTGGCTGGAGCAGATGGTGGAGATTCCTGTGGCGATGGCCTCGCTGCTCTGACACCAATATTCACAGCGGAAATTAAAAAGAAAAAGAAAAAACAGGCAACAACCTGACTGCCACCGCCGCCATCCCCTTCAGTAGAGCGAGAAGACGGGATGTAACTGGTGTCTCTGCGATGCAGATTGAAAAACACACCCAGATGGCTTTTTCGGGGGGTGGGGGGGGAGTGTAGACGGGAAATGTAGTCAACTTGTAGATTGATATCAGTGACATGAAAATGTTCACAGGAGCCACCATTCATCATTCTTGCTGGCTGCTGCCCAGCTACATGCCAGATTGGCTGCCCAACCCCCCGCATCCATCTTGGATCAGTGATTCACTGTAGTGAGCTGTAGTGATCTAACTGTATTTTTTTCGTTTGTGTGTGATGGATCCATCTCAGACAAGACAGTGAAGCTGTGGAAAATCAGCGAGAGAGACAAGCGTCCAGAGGGCTACAACCTGAAGGACGAGGATGGACGGATCAGAAACCCGTCGACAATCACCTCGCTACGAGTAAGAGGCCACACAAGACAGATTTTAAATGTGGCTGGGAGCCAAACAGCAGGTTAAGATATTCCAGATAAATCTTAAAAGAAAACAAAAACAGACCTTTAAAGAAAGAGGATAGCAGTTATAAAACAACAAACTCTGCAATCATAAATATGAACTTAAACTGGTCACTAAAATCCCCTGACCTTAGTGGTCCCACAGTGATGTTACATTGAAGCACATTATTGTATATTAGGTTTTAGTATCCTTCTTTTCAATACATATCTTATTTAATATTTTTTTTAAATGATTTATTTTTTTTAAAAGAAAAAAGAAAAAAAGGATGATGTATTTTATATTTCATGTTTTGTTATTTCTCTCCTCTTAACAATCTCTCGGTATTCAATGAAATGTATACATTAAGGACATCTGCTTATTTGCTTTTCTGTGCTGTATTGTGAGTAATCTATGGTAAACATGTAAAGCTATAAGGAAGCTTGTTAGCTTAGCTTAGCATTACCACCATGAAAATGGGGAAACAAAACCCAGCTATACCTGCACCGTTAAAGCTCACAAAACAACAAACATAAATCTTGATTCCAACTTTTTGTTTAGATTTCAAATAAAAAGTCTAGAGAGTCATGCTAGTTGTTTCCTCTCAGCTAGGCTGAACAAATGTTGACTGTAGTTTTATTTTGACTGATATTAGTGTTATCAATCACCTCATCTTCTCCTAATCAGGCATAACTCAACATGCTGACATGTTCATTTGAGGGAAAATTAGCAGTTCAGGAGAATGACATCAAGAAAAAAACATGAATCTGAAGCTGAACATGCTAACTTCTTTTAAATAGATCTGTTCATCTCAAACAGTATTTTTATAATAGACATTTTGACTTTTCATAGCAGCACATCAAAGGGTGACTTATGATCACAGTGTCAATGCAAGAAACATTTCACTTGATCAATAAATCGAATGTACTCTGAAGCACCAAATGACAAAAAAGACTTTACATAAGGAGCAGGTCAGGACTATACTCTTTATGTTATTTGTTTCATTAAAGTGTTCCTGTAGGTCATGACAGTGTGAGAGTGAGCCAGCATCAATAATATCTGGACCTGGAAAGAGCAGCTTAATATAAGCCAGCTGTCACTGGTTAGGGTTCATTAACAAGCCGTGCTTTCTTACGCTCTCATTTTGATATTTGTTTTTCTGTGACAAAGGTCTGTTCTCAGTTTGCACAGGGGATGAAATCTGAGAAGTAGAGCTCAGTTTAAGCTGATTAAATCAAAAATAAAGCATTCAGTCATTATGCAATGGATGCCTTTAATCCTCTATAAACTTATTAGCAACACCTACAGAATGTCTGAACTGTGTCCATCAGAGTTAATATAGATTTCCTTTTTTTTTAAATATCTGTTGATTATGTAATAATGTAATAATGTACTCACTTTCTGACACCAGCAAACAAGTAGACACTTTTGAATGTACACTGTCAGTGAGAAAGTGATTGATTGTAATGTGCACTGAGGTGAAGACCATGAAGGGATCATCCCCCCCCCCCCCTCACCCCACCCCCTCACCCCACCCCACTCTCAAACACACACACACTCACAGTATTTTCTTATCACTCCGCTACCTCTTTAATTTTCACACAAAGCAGGCGGGCACGTAGGGCAGCATGTGTGTGTGTGTGTGTCTGCCATAGTAGATTAGTGCTGTGTTCTGCGTGTCCGTTCCCTCTTTGTCTGGCTGGCCAGGGGATCATAGCAACCTGGAGGACAGGCCAGGACTGTGGCAATCCTGTTTAGGGGCTGTGAAATCTGCACATGGGGGGAAAAGCAGGAGGAGGAAAGCTCAGAAAAATATTTTGAAATTGAGCCAAAAAAATAGATCAACAACGAGTACTTGTTTTTATTTCATATCAAGTCTTCCATTTAGGATTCAGTTAAAACACAAATAGCATACTGTCATTATCTATTTCAATACCCTGCTTTAAACTTCAATGTGGTGGATAGTGTTGTTTGAAGATTCCCTTTTGTTAAAATGTAGAAATATTTCAATTGCAAAGACTGAGTCTTAAGGAAGATATTCTTCTTAGGCAGGCTGAATAATGTAACTGTCAGTGTTTGAGGTGAGGGGTTAATACGGTCCGTGTCTCTTTGGACAGCCAGTGAAAGACATGGAAATGAAGTGACACCCATGGAGATACAGCGGCCTGCTGGGCTGCCATGTCTCTCTGTCAGTGCCAGCAGTGGACGAGAGGAAGAGAAGAAGAAGCAGTCGATTTGTTCTTCCCTCTCCCTCCCCTTCCTTCTCTCTTTGTCTGGGTTTTATCTGGCCAACGGGGGGCTGCATGCAGGCTGGTGCTGGGCGTCTTTGAAGCCCGAGCAGCACTGTGTAACTGTGTGATTGTGCATATGAGTGTGTGTGTGTGTGTGTGTTTGAGTGTGAGTGAGCGAGTCTTAATTCTGCAGAGTTCAGTTATCATTCCTCAGCAGGGCCTGGCGATGCCCTCGGGCCATCTTTCTTTCCACCTTTTTAGCTTTCTCTCTTTTCTGGTTTTCTCTCACAAAAAAGGGGTGACTCCCTTCAGCACATCCATGAGAGAGAGAGAGAGAGAGTGAGAGAGAGAGAGAGAGAGAGTGAGAGAGAGAGAGAGGGAGGAAGGTGTGATCACTGAGTATCCGTGCAGCAAACAGATATCCTCTGATTGAGGTGGCTCATCAAACAGCCCTGGAGCCCCGCAGTCGCTGTCTCTGTTTCATTAAGATTTGTGGAGTAAATGTCACATGCAACCCTGAAGTCATCAAAAACACACACACACACATGCACACACACCGCATACTAACACAATAAATTGTGTTAGTATGCCCACATTCACCCACCAGCATGCTCAGTCACACACACAGATTTAACATCTAAGAGGTTTCCAGCATCAAAGCGCATACATTAGTGAATCTGTGTTGAGAAACCCATCAAAGCCTTCGGAGAGAATCTATTTCTTGCATTGTTTTCTGTATTTCCCATTTCCCCTTCTCTTACTTCCCTTTCATCACTGATAGGTGCCCGTGTTGCAGCCGATGGACTTGATGGTTGAGGCTACAGCCAGGCGAGTTTTCAGCAATGCTCACACCTACCACATCAACTCCATCTCTGTCAACTCCGACCTCCAAACGTACATCTCCACCGACGACCTGCGGGTGAACCTGTGGAACCTGGAGATCACCGACCGCAGCTTCAGTATCCTCTCACTCAGGATTGCTCTGAGTTAAGGAGCAATGTTAATGTTTGATTAAATAGCTTTCAGGCATGGGGAAGAGGACACAACTTCATTACCTGAGTCAAAGTAGAGATACTCCAATACAAGTGAGATGCTCAGTCAATTTGTTGCTTAAGTTAAAGTACTGGAATACTTGCTTTTAAAAATCATTCAAGCTACTTAAAATAAAATCTCAAACCATTATCGTATTTTTACCATGCACGAGTTCAGTCTAGAATACATCCTGCTATGTTAAGTTTATTAGAAAACACGTACATGTTTAAACTCACAAGCTGCATATTTCAAAATGTACAGCTCCAAAAAAAATAGTAGGAACAATAATGGGAACAACCAAAACTACCTGATAACCAGGAAAAATGTGAGCCAGGCTTTACAATGAGAAACATTGACATTTCAGAAAGCTGCTTACGATGTGGCCTTAGATACTCCAGGGAAGAATCCTTCTCTGCCGTAGCCATCATAACCAAACTAAATAAACTGCCTGATGTGAGGGACATTGAAGTACAGATACTCAAATGTACTTAAGTTTAGTACTCAAATAAATGTATATCTTTTCTTTCCACCACTGCTGCCTGGTGGACATATGCATTAGGTTGTGCTGGTAGTCTCGGGCGCAGCCCCAGGTGTGGCCGCCCCGGATGCAGATCAGGAAGTAGCAAATATGTAAAAAGGCCGAAGTGGAGAAGGGTTGAAACAGGTCAGTTGATCAGACTTGAACTGCGGGTTGCAGTAGGGCTGGGAGATGTGACCTCAAATCAACATCAAGATTAATTTAACCGATAATTACGATTATTTCGTTTTTCGATTTTTGTCCTCATCGTGCTTTATTTACAGTATTATTTATTGAATATTTGGAACTGAAATCAAAGAATCGCTTGAAATGAAAACAACACATTTTAGTTTTAAAGTAGAAATGAACTTTTCTAAAACAGTAGAAAATAAATAACTCTTATTTAATGCAAACACTTTTTCCTCATTGTTTACATTTGACTTCTTTTTGTTCGGTGTCGTCTTCCCTAAAGACAGAATGTGTCCAAAAGACGGACATTACTTCCATGTCACAGATTGAACGTGTGGTCACCTGACTCTGCCCTGAAAATAATCAAAAAAATCAACATGGGCAAGATAACGTCGATTAGAAGTTCTGAATGTCAGTTTTGATTCATTTTCGATGAATTGCCCAGCCCTTGGTTGCAGTCAGATCTCTGGCTCCTATCATGCATGCTATTTCCTCTCTCTCTCCTTGATTTCATACTCTATCTATATCAAACCCTCACATTTGACTTCTTTTGTTCGGTGTCGTCTTCCCTAAACAGAATGTGTCCAAAAGACGGACATTACTTCCATGTCACAGATTGAACGTGTGTCACCTGACTCTGCCCTGAAAATAATCAAAAAATCAACATGGGCAAGATAACGTCGATTAGAAGTTCTGAATGTCAGTTTTGATTCATTTTCGATGAATTGCCCAGCCCTTGGTTGCAGTCAGATCTCTGGCTCCTATCATGCATGCTATTTCCTCTCTCTCTCCTTGATTTCATACTCTATCTATATTCAAAGCCCCAAATATAAATCCTAATAATTATATCAATGAGGTGTAAAAACAGCATGTGTTTATCTATACTTCCTTCACAGTCGAGGTTATCCACTGAATGTCTGACACTTGTAGTTGTTCCTTAGTTTCTACCTGTCAGACATTGTGGACATCAAGCCGGCCAACATGGAGGAGCTGACAGAGGTGATCACCTCTGCAGAGTTTCATCCCCAGCAGTGTCACACCTTCGCTTACAGCAGCAGCAAGGGCTCGATACGCCTGTGTGACATGAGACAGGCCGCGCTCTGTGACAAACACTGCAAATGTGAGTACCATCAGAGAGCACTCTGAGATAATGAGACACAAAAATCCATCAGACGATCCAGTATGAACAAATCCTTTTTCTTGTACGGTTTCCCTTTGTATCCACATTCCCAAAGCAATAACTAACATTGTTTTTTTCATAATAATTTCGTCAAAATCAATTGAAGCAAAATCTATTCATTACATTGTCTTTATTCAAGTAAATTATTTTTATTTATCATTTTTACATCGCTATACGAGCCTCTAAATGTTGCTTTTTGTTCACTTTTAAAAGCTTCTGTATCAGATATTCCTTCCTCATTAATAGTGGCATATCTAATTTAATTAAAGTACTGAAAATAAAGTATTAAATTAATTGTATATTTCATGTAACTGTAGACTGTTAATTCCTTCTATGATCATAAAAATCAGATCTCAGTAACCTCAATAAAACAAAGTTGAAGTATAAGAAGAATTATTTTCATCATGAAAAATTCATGCACACCTACAATATTCACGCACCGCGTTTGCCAATTCACACTCAATATTTTGGCTTTAGCTTCATCTTTGCTTGGTTGCTCCCCGCCCCCCCGTTCAATATGCCAAGTCTGATACCCATCAATAATTTTCCTTGTGTGTTTCAAACAATGAATGGCCTTCTCTGAAGCTTTACAATGCATGCATACACTTTAGGTGAAGAATAATGAATAAATTGACATTTTGGCTAAAAAATCAATGTGGCATTAGTTCCACATGGCCACACCTTGTTGTTCAGTAACGTCGGTCATTTCCTCAGACGTATTGATGCATTCACTGGAGCGTACACCAACATGGCCTGTTAAATTTCACGTTGGTAAGAGAGCTAAATAAGAACAAGTGTAAGTACATCTGAAGCTCTGCTAGCTCAGGCTCGACTCTGTTTGTCTTTTATTGAACGTGCCGTTAGTAAACAGGTGCTTGTACACCCACGCATATGCACGCACACACACACACACACACACACACACACACACACACACACACACACACACACACACACACACACGAGCAGGCAGGTGCTTTGTTAGCCTCAGGACGGGTCTGCTGATACCGACCTACTGTCTCACTGCATGAATGTGTATGGCTCAGAGCATTGTATGATACACTACTACCTCCCACACATTTACACACAGCTTAATTTCCCCTTGACACACACACACACACACACACACACACTTCCTGAACCTTCTACATTAACAACAAAACACAATGAAACTGTATCTCCATCCTGTACGTGTAATTCTCTGCTGCTGCTATCAATCAACATTAGCGTTAGGATGTCTGCTTGAATATATGAATGTAGAGATGGATGAGAGTATGAATGTAGAGATGGATGAGAGTATGAATGTAGAGATGGATGAATATATGAATGTAGAGATGGATGAATATATGAATGTAGTGATGGATGAGAGTATGAATGTAGTGATGGATGAGAGTATGAATGTAGAGATGGATGAGAGTATGAATGTAGAGATGGATGAGAGTATGAATGTAGAGATGGATGAATATATGAATGTAGAGATGGATGAGAGTATGAATATAGAGATGGATGAATATATGAATATAGAGATGGATGAGAGTATGAATGTAGAGATGGATGAGAGTATGAATGTAGAGATGGATGAGAGTATGAATGTAGAGATGGATGAGAGTATGAATGTAGAGATGGATGAATATATGAATGTAGAGATGGATGAGAGTATGAATGTAGAGATGGATGAATATATGAATGTAGAGATGGATGAATATATGAATGTAGTGATGGATGAGAGTATGAATGTAGAGATGGATGAGAGTATGAATGTAGAGATGGATGAGAGTATGAATGTAGAGATGGATGAGAGTATGAATGTAGAGATGGATGAATATATGAATGTAGAGATGGATGAGAGTATGAATATAGAGATGGATGAATATATGAATATAGAGATGGATGAGAGTATGAATGTAGAGATGGATGAGAGTATGAATGTAGAGATGGATGAGAGTATGAATGTAGAGATGGATGAGAGTATGAATGTAGAGATAGATGAGAGTATGAATGTAGAGATGGATGAGAGTATGAATGTAGAGATGGATGAGAGTATGAATGTAGAGATAGATGAGAGTATGAATGTAGAGATGGATGAGAGTATGAATGTAGTGATGGATGAGAGTATGAATGTAGAGATGGATGAGAGTATGAATGTAGAGATGGATGAGAGTATGAATGTAGAGATGGATGAATATATGAATGTAGAGATGGATGAGAGTATGAATATAGAGATGGATGAATATGAATATAGAGATGGATGAGAGTATGAATGTAGAGATGGATGAGAGTATGAATGTAGAGATGGATGAGAGTATGAATGTAGAGATGGATGAGAGTATGAATGTAGAGATAGATGAGAGTATGAATGTAGAGATGGATGAGAGTATGAATGTAGAGATGGATGAGAGTATGAATGTAGAGATAGATGAGAGTATGAATGTAGAGATGGATGAGAGTATGAATGTAGTGATGGATGAGAGTATGAATGTAGAGATGGATGAATATATGAATGTAGAGATGGATGAGAATATGAATATAGAGGTGGATGAATATATGAATGTAGAGATGGATGAGAGTATGAATATAGAGGTGGATGAATATATGAATATAGAGATGGATGAGAGTATGAATGTAGAGATGGATGAGAGTATGAATGTAGAGATGGATGAGAGTATGAATGTAGAGATAGATGAGAGTATGAATGTAGAGGTGGATGAATATATGAATGTAGAGATGGATGAGAGTATGAATGTAGAGATGGATGAGAGTATGAATATAGAGATGGATGAGAGTATGAATGTAGAGATAGATGAGAGTATGAATGTAGAGATGGATGAGAGTATGAATGTAGAGATGGATGAGAGTATGAATGTAGAGATGGATGAGAGTATGAATGTAGAGATGGATGAATATATGAATGTAGAGATGGATGAGAGTATGAATGTAGAGATGGATGAATATATGAATATAGAGATGGATGAGAGTATGAATGTAGAGATGGATGAATATATGAATGTAGGAATAGGAAAGGATAAGTACAGAGCTGCAGGACAGAGAGATGGGGACCAAACAGCCTCCATGCTGACTCCCAAGGGACCCTATTATATGCCAGCAGGGAAGGAGGGCAAGGACTCCAACACACACACACACACACACACACACACACGCATATATACATGCACATAATGCACATTCATACACACACACACACACACACACAAATCCAGCAGGACTCAAATGGGCCCTGCACTTTGACATTGATTTGTTTTTCTTATCCCTTCCTCATCCCCCCATTTTTTTATCTCTCACGCCCAATCCCTTACTTAGACTCCCCATTGACACATCACAGAGCGATTCTCCAGGCCTCAGCGGCGGTGGAGGGAGGGGAGAAGGGTAGGGGTATATTTGGAGAGATGGAGAGGGGAGAGTGGAGGAAGGGTGGGAGGAGGAACAATAACTTGACAGCTAACGATGGAATGCCTGGCTCTTATCCCCAGCGTGCTGGCCTGCACACAGATCAGCAGCTGCCAGAATCAATATGAATCATAACCAATATTTACCCAGCATGCTGACCCATGCCTGCCTCCCTAAACACATATAAATAATACCACGAGGAGATGCAGCTGCTGCAGAAAAACAGGATTGTTGTGGCTTCTCTCGTTCACTAATGACAGCTCCATACAAACATGCTTTGTTTTTCCCTGCTGTCTATTGGTAAAAGACTTTATACAGACAAAAACACCTCTTAGGCAGAGACCTCCCAAAGAGGAAAATATGTTTGCTCTGTCAGAAGCTAACTCCCTTTCTCTTTTAATCTCATGTAGACTTTGAGGAGCCAGAGGATCCCTCCACTCGCTCCTTTTTCTCTGAAATCATCTCATCGATCTCCGATGTGAAATTCAGCCACAACGGGCGGTACCTGATGACACGGGACTACCTCACTGTAAAAGTGTGGGACCTTCAGATGGAGAACAAACCACTGGAGACGTACCAGGTGAGTTCTCAGTTGTCAAGCTTTTATTTTTTCCTGTTGGACAGTTTGAAGGCTCCAAAGATTTTTTGGCTGGGGACGTGAGCAAATAATGGTTAGGCTGAGTTTAAATCAAAAGGTATTGATTTCAGGCTTATCACTCAACATAATCCTGTTGCAGTGTCTTCCTGCCAATCCATTACTGTGTCATCTTTAGCGATTAACCCAGGAGGGCTTATTGAGCAGACTGTCGCTAGAAAGACAGATTGTGGTGGTGCCGGTGCAACCTGAAGGGCAAAACCTCCCACTGTGAGGTCACCAGGGGTCACATCCACACTTTCTGATCAGGGGAAGCCATCTTAAGGCAGGTCATAAGTGATCGGGCCATCAGCTAGTCTCGAGGGATTCTCTGTCCAGTTGCAGCTCCGCCTCCACCTGCTTACCTCACACCTTAGCCTCGGTCACCAGGTCTGAAGAGATTACTGAAAGTAGAGCATATGGCAGTGCAGCTTATTGTTGGGTGGCAATGTGATGAACTTAAGGTGCTAGGAAAGTAAGGACACACTCCACCTACTATAGTTTAGACATTTATGTTTCTATTTGTTTTTCAGGTCCACGATTATCTAAGAGGCAAACTTTGTTCTCTGTACGAGAACGACTGCATCTTTGACAAGTTTGAGTGTGTCTGGAATGGATCAGACAGGTAAGATTTATCGCCCATCCATCCATCTCCATCCATCCATCCATCATCCATCCAAATAACCCTTCCCTCTCTTCTGCTCCTCCTCAGCGTCATAATGACTGGCTCCTATAACAATTTCTTCCGAATGTTTGACCGGAACACAAAACGTGACGTCACACTGGAAGCATCCAGAGAGAACAGCAAACCCAGAGCCATTCTCAAACCTCGCAAGGTACAGCAAGCTCAAGTTAGCTGATAGTTGTGTTTCTTATATTTAAGACTGTAGAGTATCTCTCTACCCGTGTGTTGTACACACAGGTAGAGAGGTCTCTATCTCCTACATATAGTCCACTTGATTAGAGGGAATCATAAACGATAGACCACCATCTTATTATTAACGATAGTAGAAACCATAACTGTAATCTGGCTGACAGGTGACAGAGATGACACATGAACTCTAACCTATTTAGACCATTTCTCTGATCGGAGAAAGCTAGATTGATGAACATGTATATGATGTTCTTAAAGTCTAAGCAGACACTGATCACTTCCTTTACATAAACAATATAATAAATATAATTTATAATAATAAACATGATATCTTGTGTGAAATTGGTAAGAGAATTGTCACCTTTCTTTGCTGTCCACCTTTCAGCTTATTGTTTTGGTGGTATCAATCAATTTTTATTTGTATAGCATCAACTCATAACAAGTGTTATCTCGAGACACTTTACAAAAAGTAAAAGACCTTACTCTTTGTCTGTTAACATTACAAAAGAGCAGGTAAAAAGACCTTACTCATTGTTATGTTACAAAAAGCAGGTAAAAGACCTTACTTATTGTTATGTTACAAAAAGCAGGTAAAAGACCTTACTTATTGTTATGTTACAAAAAGCAGGTAAAAGACCTTACTTATTGCTATATTACAAAGACCCGGCCTATTCATCATGAGCACTTTAGCAAAGCAGCAAAAGTTACAGTGGTAAGAAAAAAACTGCCTTATTAAAAGGCAGAAATCTTCAGGCTGGATCCCCGGCTCATGATGAAACAGCCTTCACAGGCCTAGACTGCGCCGGGCTTGGAGAAGGGGTAGGGGGGAGATGGGATAAGATGCAGGAAGAGGGATAGTATCACTTCACACCAAAAGTTTACTGTGCTGGTTGAGTCTTAACGCCCTCATCAAACCAATTTCTAACCATTGCAGACTGCTGCGTCAGCCAAAAGAAACAAAAATCTGATCAACCCACTAAACACAAGAGACAAATTTAGCAGCAAGCTGCTACGGAAAGATTTAGCAGCCAAAGAGCTGCATCTTCTCCTCAGACTCAGGCAGAGGCTGAAACAAAGTTTAAATGAATACTCCTTGTTTTTCCTAACATGGATGTTGGTGTTCCTCTGTCCTCTGAATACGACAATAATGAACTCTTAACCAAAAGCATTTACCACATCTACTCAATGATGTGTTAAAACGTCAGTGTTATATTTGACGGTTCGTTCCGGTGTTTCAAAATGGACAAAAATAAATGAACACTGCTATAATGTCGCTGAAAGAAATGCTAATTTATGCTTTGAAAACGGCACACACTCTCATGTCTTAACGCCTGCTTATCCCCCGACTGTTGTCCTCCAGGTGTGTGTGGGCGGAAAGCGACGCAAGGACGAGATCAGTGTCGACAGCTTAGACTTCAGCAAGAAGATCCTGCACACTACGTGGCACCCGCATGAGAACATCATTGCTGTAGCGGCTACCAATAACCTCTACATCTTCCAAGACAAGGTCAACTAAAGGGCCATCCGACCCTGCTGACCCCCCCCCCCCCCCCCTCCCTCCCCCCCATACAATGAGGGGGCTGCTGGGAGAGGCAGGGTTTGGAGAAAGACAGTGATAGATCCCCGATCTACATCCTCCTTCTCCTCCTCCTCTCTCCCTGTGTCTTGTTGCTGCCGGTCTTGAATTTCACCACTCTGCTAAGGAAGTGCAGAGAAAAGGATCCGGGAACTGATTTGTGGAGACATTGAGGAATATTTGGAAAACAGGAAATTGATTCAACCTGGATACAACTTGAGGATAAAGGGTCCCTTCAAAACCAAGAATGGACTTTCATTCTTCAATTTGACTTCTAATTTTTATTTATTTAGCAAAGCATACACCTGAAAAAGTGAATCCTGTGCATTTATGCAACAAGAGGATTGCTGCATGAATAACACGATGTAGCAGCCCTCTGGACCCTGAAGAAAAGGGGCTGGATGTGGCGACACTGAACAATAAATAAGAGCACACAGACAGAAACATAGCTTACATGATAGTGGCTCATTGTCATGTAGCAACAGTGCCCCCTGCCTTTGAGTCTGCTCATGCTACAGTGCATGTGATCAACCCAACGCAGCCTCTGACTGAGGCGACGTTTTAGGACACTGCACAGTTCCTACAAAAGAGGAAGAGACTGTTATTAATCTCTGACCCCAGAAACTAAGTTTTCTCTGCCTGTGATGAAACGTGGTCAGTCTTTCTAGTTCAAATTCTGTGTGAGACTGCTGTAGTCTGTAATGTGAATGAAGCCCCTCCAGGCTGTGTCAATGGTTTTATTTAATGCTGTTGTTTTATTGAGTCCTTCTCTCGGTCAATGAGTCTGTTTAGAAGCTGTGGTGCCTTCTTTTGGTATGTGGGGTTTGATGTAGTGGGAGTGGGAGGGGGGGGGAGGGGACTGAGTACAAGGCAGGAGTGTGAATGTTTCAAATGAAATCTTAACATAGCATTTTTTTTCTTTGTTTTTTTTTCCTCTCTTCAACAAAGACAAAAAAAAAAGGCTCAACTGAGGTCCCGAGTGGAAAAAAAATGCTTGAAAGCAATGTAGTCAAAATTACATTAAAGCACCGACTACATGCTTGTGAGTTCAGGAGAGGACTGTGATATGTTCAAAGTAACTGTTGCTTTTATCACATTGCAGTCAGTCTGATGTCATCTGTTTGCAAGAGACACAACAAAGCCACATTAACTGGTTTTCAAATTTGAATTCTTCACATATTGGAGCTTATTTGGATAGTACTGAAAATGATCTGTAGATGGTAGAAGAGTTTTGATGTTGATTTATTGAACTTTATATTTATTGGTGTAACATTATGCTAGCAAAGCTCTTTTTGCATGTATTGGATCTGATTCCGATGAAATTAACAGCTGGCACATAGATATTTGAGCATCTACAGATCATCTGAGGCACTATGCAAGTACAAGACTTTCTGCAGAAGTAGCCTTTTAAAAGTTGAATTTGTCATTGCTGCAGTGCTTGCCCATGTTCCTTCTCTTGCTGAAGACAAGTTACAGGTTGTAGTTCAGCACTCGGCTCTGATGAGTTTGGAGATTCTTATTTATGTCCAATTTGTTTTTAGAGCCAACTCCCATAAAGGAAAGCAGTCAAAGGTCTGAACTCTGTCAAATCAGGGAATTATTAAGTGTGGTTCCTTTAAACAGTTATGTCTTCTAAACAATCTCCTTTGTGACACTAATTGAAAAAAAAACCTTTTATAGCTCAGAATGTATTGTAATGCAATTAAACACCATGCAGTCTTTATGCTTACTGGACTTTCTTTGAATAAAAAAAGAATAAAGATGTGCAAGTTCACAGCGTGGTTTGTCCTTGTTTTTTTTCAGACTTGTCAAGTGATCCATGTTCATTGTTCATTTGGTAGAATGGCGCCCTCTTGTGGATTACGAGTAGATGAAGAGAAAAACATGTAAGGGAAGTCTTGTTTATGCAAAATTCCTGATTTTCAACAACTGGACACAGTAGGTGGTTGATTTAAAATTAAAAGTCAATGGTAATTCCTTATGATTATTCATGTTTATTTACATATTCTAATGAACCTTTGCTGACCCAACCCTTACAGATTATATAACAAACACAAATGACAAAAAAATGTCTGGTTCTGGAGGATGCTTTAGATATCATTTTCAACTTAAGTAGCACCCAAAACCAATTTGCCTTCACTGTAATAACATTATTGTGATAAATTACAAGCAAAGCAACCTTCACTGTAGTGACTGACTGAAATGACAAATTAGAGATCCAATGTATTCATCTGTCATACTGTGCACATTATGCAGAGTTTTTCTAATTGGCCCCATGAGGCTGTAGTCTACGCACATTTTTTTTCATCTGGGGACAACTGTCAATCAAACAGCATCTTTATAACCAGCTGCAGAAGCTGCATCATTGTGCCTCAGGATAAACCCAGGGACAGGCAGGAGCTCCTCTGTGATCACTGATCGTCAATCGATACCTTCTCTGATGCGATTATTCTAACAGGTTCAGATAGGTATTATTGCATAATATATTATATCAAGTTGAGCACTCCCATTTTTGGATGTTTAACAAGACCATTTTTTTTCGTAACTTGATGCATTTTACTTTTTTCTAAATCTAGCTCGAGGTCTTTTTAGAGAACAAAATGGACAAGGTGAGTGGGAACAATGCGACTGTGGTGAACGCCTCCATTGACAAGTGGTCATTCAATGAGCTCTCTTTCCAACACCTGGACGCCAGAGAGTTGAGAGTCCTGGTTCCAGCTATTCTGGGAGTAATCTGTGTCTTGGGTGTGGCTTGTAACCTAACTGCCATGGTCATCCTATTCTCCAATGCTCACCGAGGTAAACTTTCTCTCATAAACTCCCTTATCTTCAACATGATGTTCGCTGACGGACTGGTGCTGGCATTTTCGATGCCTTTCAGGGCTGCTTCCTTCTCCAAGGCTAGCTGGGATCTGGGTTGGGTGGTCTGCAAGACAGCAGACTGGTTTCTCCAGTCGTGCATGGCGGCGAAGAGCTTCACAGTGGCTGTGATGGCCAAAGCGTGCTACCGCTATGTATCAAACCCAACACAGCAGGTGAGCATCCACCTGGGCTCCATCCTGGTGGTATTTTTCTTCATCTGGTTGTCTGCCTGTTCCGTCACCATCCCTCACTGGCTGTTTGCTACGCTGCAGAGACGGATCCGGGGACTGGTGTGTGTGCTTGCAGTTCCTCCTGAAGCCCAGAATTTTATGTCTGTGTACGTTAAAGCATACCCTCTAGTGGTCTACTGTGCACCTCTCAGTTTTGCCCTGATTTATTTTTGGAAGGCTTATGGTCAGGGCCAGCGTCGCTCCAGTAAGACTCAGAATTTGCGCACACAGATCAGGGCAAGGAAGCTCACCTTGATGCTGTTCAGCCTGACTGTGGCCATGGCTATTCTCTGGCTTCCACAGTGGGTGGTGTGGCTTTGGGAGCGTCATATTGCAGAGAGGGATATTGAAAGCGCCAAGCCATTAGCATCCTCTCTTCCCCTCCTTCTGACACTCTCTGCTCAGCTGCTCACCTTCTCTTTATCCTTGGTGAACCCTCTCATTGTGCTGTCCCTGTCAGAAGAGTTCAGAGAGGGCTACAAGGGACTATGGAGACGCCTTACCCTGCGCAAACAACTTCCTCCAAAGCACAAAGCTGGACCTCACATGCCTACAGCTCCTCAGTCCCCTTGTCCCAGACCAGAGACTTCTGTCCAGCTAAGAGGGGAGAACAGCTTTGGATCAAGCTCGAGCCAGGGTCAAAGCAGACAGGCTAAGCCCCAGACAGAGCAAGAAGGAGGAAGGGAAATAGACATGGTGAGCCTAAAAGATGGTATTGTCTTGCCTGATTTGGAGCATTTCTGGCACGAGAGGGAGACTGGATCACTCACAGAAGAAAATGATCCTGTGCCGTGGGAGCACCAAAACAACGATGGGAAAAAATAACAACTACCCCCCTCCAGCTTATCTTCATCATCTTCAAAAGTCCTCAGATGGAAGCAGCTTCATCAACATACCTGAGCGCTGGACATCCAGCACATCATTTGTATTCTGTCAACTGTGTTTATGATATTACTCAGAGGTAAGAAGTGCAATCATTTTGGAGTACAATACCACAGTATCGTCTGCATATTGATTAACTTTGTATTATAGTGTTTGTTGATTTTCTTTTTCTTGTTTTAGGAAAAAGATATTAATTAGTTTAAGATGACTTTTGGTGACTGTTTATACATTTTCTGGCAAGAATGTCATTGTAAATTCAATATTGTAATTAAATATATATATATATACATATTCAGTATATTTTGTGGTGAATGATCATCAATAGGTACAGTTATCTGCAAGTATTTTAACATAATACTAATTATACCATTAAATAAAAGTGTATTATGGATTGGTCTGCAAGTAATCCCCTTAAGAGGGATTGAAAATCTTAATTTACATACATGTACATTGTGGTTGTATTTTATACTAGTGTGCAATCATTACTTGTGTATACCCTTTGGAAATTTGAGATGTTGAAATTGGCAGCTTTTAATGGTCAGTGTTTCCTGCCCTCTTTCTGTGAGTGAGATCATTGTACATCAGAACCACCAGTACACAAAAAATAATAAATATATTCTAAAAATGAAGTCTGTATGTGATAAGAGTGACTAGTTGTGTCATAAATGATTTAATAAAGAAGCAGAACCACTACATATGAGTTTTGTGTGTATTTGTGTTCATTTCAGGAAGGAACACACACACATACAGACACACACTTAAGGTAGAGTCTTAATGAGATGGCTCAGACATCAGCGGATGGCCTCCTGCTGACATGGCGTCATTAAATATATTTTCATAAGGGCAACAATTTGAATTGCCAAGGGTTCTAATTAGAGGTAAAGAGCTTTCATCTAAACCCAGATGGATTCATTTCAGATGACTCACCTCAGTGGGAGGCTCATAAGGAATTCTCTCTTCATTGATCTAAATACACATGATGGGTACTACATTTTTAAGGTGATAAACAACATTAAGAATGTGTCTGAGCTAATCTGTGATTGATTCTTCTGTCTGATATAACACCCACCCGGCTGTGCTGAACAATAGAGCCAAATAATATGCATCACTTAAATGATAGACCCCTATTCCAAGCTTGACATGAGTAGATCTGTACTGTTTGCATTGTTAAAAAAACAGCAAGAAGTGAAAATAGAGAGAAACATTTTGGAGGTAAAATTGTACGAGTCATTTCATACTGACCTTACACCTCCTATGCTTCTTTCTCTACATTTATGACATTTTCCTCTCATTAATCATTTATGTTGACCTTTTACTGCCAGAGGCAAGCACCTCAATCAGAGCAACACTTAACTACACAATCCTCCATCAGTCCCTGAGGTAGTGACCTGGCCATAAACACTGAAGACAACCGAATTTTTACCGGTTGTTGCTTAAATAACCAACTATTAAAGCTTGATGTACACAAAAAACAACTCTACATACTATGATACCTTTTGATACCTCATGCGTGTACTGTTAAATTAGCTGACACGTTGAAGAAGATAAATTTGTTAGCACTGAGTAAAAATGAATGAAGCTGCAGCTGCTAGCGGACGGTAAGTCAGCTCCATGTGGAGAGCACAGAGGGCAGAAAGGTATATAATGTAATGCAGTGTAAGAAAATGTAACCCCTGATCCCATCTACTATAAACTGAAAACAATATAGCTTTAATCAGTCTCTAATAAGTGACATGTGCATGCAAGTGCAGCAAAGTATATGCTCGTGGACATCACCTGTTAACTCCAAATGACCTTCTCACTTCTTTAGTCTCTGCTTGGACTGTAAATCATTGCAAAGCACATAAAGAATGAGTTGGATATATTGTCGTTAAGACAATTGATGACGGCTTCCCAGAATGGCAGGTGAACTACAATCCAATTTTATGTCTTAGACATAATAACTACCTTGAAAGCTTCTGCATGAATGCAGCCCCTTACAGTTGTCATCTATGAGATAAGAATCTAAAGAAACTTAAATGAATAATATAAAACTTTTTGATCCAGCAGATGTCGCCCTTGAGCACCAGCATGAAACCAAAACAACTTGTGCTGCATTGTTGTGTTAGCATGCTAATGCTAGCGATCTTTATTATGCTGGTATCTTCACACTGCATGTAAATGTACCTGAAATGAGCGTGATCTAGAAACACAGTTAAGCAGTGAGTACAGTATGTTATTCTTCTTTACTCTAGTCCCTCAATTAAACAACTTTTTCATGCAAGGCGATGAGCTGGCCGGCCGTCCTGGCGATGTAAACAAACTGAAGATAGGACTCTGAAAACTCTGAAAGCATCACAGACAGTGGGACTCGGGTGTTACACCCATTGTAGACAGTCATGACTCACAGAGTTATTTTCAGAGGATATACTTGATTTCTGCTACATTTATGTGTGAAAAATCACATATTCTTCCTTTAAAGTTTTTTTGTACCAAGTTGTAAACATGATAATTCTGCTCTTAAAAACTGCACTCCTTCAACTGTCCACTTGAGTCAGCCAACTGCAGATTCAACCACTGGCAGACGAATCAAAACAAACAGGAAATGAAACAACTGCACTCCAATAAAACTGATAAACAGCTCGTTTGTCACATCTCATGGTCACATACTGTATTTAACAGCTTGTGGAGGCCAACCCGGAAGTAGCATCACCATGGGGTCTAACGAGAATTCCCCTATAGGATTTTTGCATTGGATTTTGGATCACTGCAGAAAATAAGCTCTGTGGCAAACGCACGTTTCTGAAGTGTAGGCGTTTTGTTCAGCAGGATAATCTTCACAGATGAACACCATTTTTATGATGTTTTAAGCGTTAATGCGGCCGACAGAAGTAAAAAGCTAACGTTATGCTCCAAGCTAACTACACCACGGTCGGATGATTGTGACGTTACTAGCGTTATGCTTCCATGGCGCTCAAATGCTAACTTACTTTCGGGTTTAAGACTCATTCCTGTGGCGCTCTATAGTGGGCTGTGCATGGAAATATAGGACAGATTGTGCCCCTTATAGGGTCAGAGACGGAGAATATCAGACAAACAGATGTGTGTTAGATCTTCTCCTTTGTGAATCATCTGTATTCACTGCTGTGTTATTTTAAACTCATCATGGTATGAACCAATCAGCAACCTCTGGTGATGAAAAAAGGAGTAAATGCTTGGTGGAAAAAAAAAAACTGCAGTTCCTCATGTGTCCACTTCAGCCTTGCTCAGAAAATCATGAAAGTCACATACACACTCCATATACAATAACATATTTGGTTTGATTAGTTGATGTCTTTGTGCACACACTGTACAGGGGTTATTCTTTAAGGGGTTATGATCTGACTGCAAGCAGTCGGGTTGTAGTGTCGTAGATGCGATCACACATAATTCTTGACTTTTCATAATTTGGAAATCATGAGACACTGCATTTTTCTGTTATATGTTAGGTATCTTTGTACAGCACAATAGTTATGTACATTTTACACTTAAAAACATACAAACACTCAAAAACAATTTGTGTCTTCCTAGAAGCTAAACACCTAGCAAAATAATTCATAAGCAGTCGAGCCATTTCACTGAGGTGCGTCCCAGCAAAGCCCTGCTGTCCAGATTAACCTGAGTTTAATCAGCAGAATATCGGAGATCATCTGTGCAGGTAAGCAGGATGACGAGGCACTTCCAGCTGGACCTCATTAGATCATAGAGTGTCAATTGACCCTCTGTGTATGAGAGGCAGTTACACAAGCTGTGGTGCTGCCTGTTGAAATGTAAACACATTGATCATTTTTACATTTTAAGAATGTATTTAAAGCCACATTTTTATACTTAAGAAGTTACATTTTGACTTGTACTACATGGTAAGTTATATATTGGCCACTGTTAGCACTTGGTTCTCATTTAAATTGGTAAATGGTTTTGGAGAGTGGACTTTAAAACAGCAGTATAAGAATATAAAAAGTACTAATAAGTACATGTCAAATGTTAAAAATAAAGGCATCACTATGAAGCTCAGAATAATAAAAGTGAGCACAAGCAAGGTTTTATCAGTTTTTACAAAATGGGGAGTGTTAATCAACATTACAAATGGGAATAACAATTCATGCTTAATTGGGGCTTATTATTGGGGGGTCCAGCAGGTGAACTCCTCACTTTATGGCCCCCCTCCCACTGTGAGGTGAGGCAGGGGTGTCACCACTGCATTTTATCCCTAAGCCAATCATCATCTCTAATAAATGAAACTCCACAGGGGGCAACATGTCAGCTTATACTAATTATGTTCAGCAGGAGAAACTGGCTGCAATTAAGCCACATGCTAAAACCTTTTGCCTGCCAATGATGTGCCTCCCTCTGAGTCACAGCTACCATTGGTCCTTTGGCTTTTCAGTCCGCACAGGTTCGACCTAGGAGTGTGTGTGTGGGTAATTTTAACCTGGAGGGAGGTTAGTTCAGGGGGTCTGGCCTTGGTATTTAGCAGTCTTTTGATTAGAATATATCACATAGCTTTCATCTCAGTGAAGGATGTGGGGATCCAAAGGGCAGGCACCTTGCAGCATTTCCAGCAGAGCCCCAAGAGGGGGTGTCATTTCAGACCATGCATACCATATCGATTTATAACTGAAAGCATGATCAAGGGCGTGCACTATACAACACAATAAAAAAAACAAGTTTGAACCCAGACCTGCATTCCAACCTCCAAACTGCATACAACATATGACACAGGAACATGTAATTTATGTCAAAATGCATTTATGACAGTTTTAGTGTGGCAAAAATACCAGACTGTGAGATCAGGTTACAAATGGCTGCTTGTAAGCCAATCGTTACCCGCAATCCTGAACAAAAGCTGGGGAATGCAGGCTATGTAGGCCTAATGTCAAACTCTAGAATCAATTAAAGAAGTAATTACATGAAACTGTGTACAGTACTATGTTGTACGGTGAACATTGTTTTCTTTCTAGTGTTGGACAGGTCCAATAGAGCAGCCAGATACACTACTTTCTAGAGCAGGCAGTTTTTGACAGGTGTAATACAAATCTTTACCACAAATGGGCACCTGGTTTCAGTATTCAACAGATACGCCTTCATCTGTGAAAATTGTTCTAGCACTCTTTTTAGCTCATATTTTTTATTTGGGTTCACA